TTAAAAGCTTTTTTATTTTTTAATTGAAAAAGAATGCAAGTAATGAATTTAAATATTAATTTAATTTATTTATATAATTATTTTTAAAATATAATATTCCTTTAACTTTTGTAATTTTTTTTATATCCGCATATTATATCTTCCTCTATAATATATATATATATATATATATATATTTATATACAATCAATGTAATTTCATTCATTTTATTTTTCTCATTTAAGCCTATGGCCATAACATTGCAACTTGTCTTTCTAAAAAGAGGGTGCTTCAGTTGTTCCATCAAACGACTGATCATAGTCTTCCGCTTTACGACGCTTCATGACCTAGTAGCCACAGAAATTTTTAAGAAAACATAAAAATTTGGTTTTGAACCAAATCTTTTCTCCTTTTCTTTTGTTATAAGGTTTTATCCTTTCTTTGAAACTAAAAAAAAAAATGACTGATCGTAGTAAGATTTCGTATGATGTAATAATGTGATAAAAGTAATGTAGACATATAAATTTTTGTATCAAGGTGAAACGAAAAACTCCATTAAAAAAAAAAAAAAAAACTTGAAACTTGACAGAAATATTAGGCCCAAGCAGTGCTAATCCATGAATTAGCTGTTGTTTCTGCGCTTGGCCAGAGTCATCGACATGTCGGGAAACCTGAAAAAAAAAAACAATGCGAGAAAATTGGTGGAATCTATAGAAACATATCCTCTAGAGTTCGTTGGAGAGTTAAAGAGGGAAATTGACAGGCATTCAGCAATAGCTGCAACATGACAAGTGCTTTGTCAAATTCTTTCTTTTTTTTTTTTTTTCATGTGGGGGGCTTTAGGAGACAGTACCCCTTGCGTGGATTTGATTGTCCTCAATCAAAAAAACAAGGATTTATTTGCTGGGATTCATAAACCGCTAATTCGCTATGGAATTAATATTACAAGTAGGGCAAGTGGAATATTTATTATGGATCTAGTGGGTGATAATTTAACATTACTATTTGCTTTCAAAAATATTGCTAGGCGACTTGGTTTTTGACTTTCAAAGCGGCGGGGGAGTGTCTGGGGACAAGAATCAAGAACCAAGTTTTCATCTTGTACACAAGTTTTTATGTATGATTACTTGCCGCTGGTTTTAGAATGCTGTATGAATCATTTATCTCACTGTTATATCTATATTTTATTTACTAGAGACACCGATGCAGAAGGTAAATATTTTCAAATACGGGCTATATTTTTTTTTATTCCAAAATGATCAAGTTGAAGCCCAAAATAATTGGGTCAAAGGATCAGCGACCCTTAGTATCCCATAGTCTCTTGCAGCATCGGCCCAATTTACAGCCCTAATACTACCCCATGATGTAAAACGTAGAAAACCACAAAAACCAAGTAAAACTTCTGAGATTTTGGAGTTAGGAACTTGGGATCCTTTTGGTCATTTTCTGAGTTGCAAATACGATCACACTGATTGCATGGAGTCTGTTTAATTTGTATTAATTATATGGTGTCACATTAATATGTAGCATGCGTGTCTTCCCCAAATCTCTCTTGGCCATACCCTTCCCTCTCCCTTTTCTCTTTTCATTTCTATAATATTCTGTTAGTAAATTTTGTCCTTTACTATGGTTTTAGGGAGTTAGAGCAGATGGCAACTCTGATATAAGTGATGAAATTGGCAAGCAACTAAGTCTAAAAGTTGCTACAGCTGGTCTAAGATAATTTTTTAGATAAGATTTTTAGGATGTGTTTGGTATATAAGATTATAACAAGATAGAATAAGATGACATTATAAATAGGATTAGATTAAATAATATCATTTTATTTTATATTTGATGTATACAATGATTAAAATAAAATTATTTATTTATTGATCAAAATATATAAATTTAATCTTATGAATTAAAAATAATTTTTTTTACATTGAGAAGATTGAATCATCTCATACCAAGAGGCTAATTAATTCTCTTTGTAATTATATCCTTTCATTTAGATTCGAATCAAATATAATATAAAATAATTATTATTTTATCTTATTCATTATCTTATATACCAAATATGATCTTAAGGATGAAGATTCTCTTCTAAACAAATTAAATTCCCAATGTGGTATCATAAGCTCTTTCATAATCGAGATATGATCATTGTATTTGTCTTGGAATATATGCATTGATGATGTCAGACCCATAGGGGCTGTTATATACATATGCAAAGGAAAAATCTTAAGATGTGCCTAAAGAGCACAAATACTGCAACTGATACATCTGAAGTTGCAAAGGTTGTTATAGTAACAAATGCAATCATAAGTTCATCTTTACTCTTTATTGTTCATATGAAAATTTTGTGATAAACCTTCAAATGATTTTTTTTCCCTTTGTAAACTAGAAGGCATATGCCGGAGGTGGCTGTCCAAGTTCTAGCTCCTTTATCATAAGAATGGATGAGTATAATCGGTGATTACTTCGAGTTACTTTAGGGTATTGAATATGTCCTTGAGGCACTCCCTTGACAATTACATTGTCCTATAAAATTAAATACGTAGACCATCTCATCTCCTTAATATCTTTCTTTGCCTGGACATAGATTTTCTTTTAGAAAATTCAATTGGAAGTTTCAATTTCTTTTGCTTAATCGCAAAAAAGGCACAGCAAAATTTCCCTTGTATTTCATAAAGTATTCCCAAATTGAGACTTCTGGTGCTGATGGTGATTTTTTTTGGACATAAACTTGCTCTTTGGCTACAAATAAATCCAAAGAATGCACCTGAATGTTAAGGGAAGCTTTTTGAACAATATCTTCCATATAAAATAGAAACATCTGTCGATGCCTTAAGTTTTTAAGCTATACTTTTATGTCCTTGCTAATTTCATGGTGTGCAGTGCACATCTTGAAAGATTTAACTGAGGAGTGCATTCATTAGTTCACTGGACAACCTTCAACCATTATTCCCTTGTCCGTTGGACAAGTTGCTAATTCACAGTGCTAACCGTCCATGCCCCACCATGTCACACTTCGATTTTCCATTCCCACTGAAAACTACAATAGTATTGCCACGAAAGCAACCCCGGCATCTAGAGCTGCTGAAAGAATGTAATTGTACCTTTGCCGCCACTGCTTTCATTAGCGGACAATGAAAAAATTGAAAATAGTTCCAGTTATAATCCAGGCATTTTAGTTTAATGGTGTTGTTGGTGGCATCATTCCTGTTGCTCCTAGAAGGACTTGAAGGTTAACGAGGGTAATCCAAGATTGCTCGGGAAATGTCTTGTGCACGAGCCAAACAATGACAGGTCCTAATGCACCTCCTACAAAGAACAAATTCATCGTCCGATTGTTGTCTAGAGATCCAAAGATCCACATGGTGCCCATCAAACCCCATATAACTGATGCATCAAAGAAGAGTCAGTCACCGGGGCATGTCCAGGGACTGTCAGTGGGAAGGAGATAAGCAGATGCAAATGCCAGAGAAGTAAACTGTCTCAGATGCTGTGCCTTAAGGAGAACACTGATAAAAAAAAAATGTATGTCTGCAGATAAGCTATACTTCCTGCATCTCAAATTACTTAACTTTCATGAACTTCAAAAAAAAAAGTTTTCATTGTGTTCTCATTTTTTTTTTTAAGTAAAAAACCCTTTAACCTACTATCATGTTTCTAAAAATATTTTCTTTTTTTTCCATTATATATAAATTAGTTTTTCATTATGTCAATTAATGTTAACGATAGTACTCAAATTTTGTTTATCCGTGAATCGTATTCAAGCTTGAGCCAGCCCGGGAGCTGGCCCATTAATCATACTCTACGCTTTAGCATCCAATTCCAATTTTTGCATGGATAGGCTACCCACGACATTTTTGGGCTCCATGGAGACCCATCATACTTGTCTAGGAGGCTTAATGTAACATTGGGCTTGACCTGTGAACAGAGTCAGGAGAGATGGCCCATATGTTATTTAGCAGTTATTTTTCCAAGAATTCTTTAAGTTACTGGGCAGGCTTTTCTGATCAGCGGTCACTCAAATCTCATAAGACCCTGGCTACATAATTACCAATGAAAATCATTTTACCAAATATTCCAAATGATTTGTTTTCTAAAACAAGGAAACACATATCTAAAATTGTTCAACTAAGGTAAGATCCACCTGCTCCCAAATTAAAGCTGTTAGAATTAAATCAATTAGTTAAAATTGATTTCAACCCATAATTTATTTTTTTAATTTCAAATTACGTTAATTTTATAAAAAATTAACAATTTAATAGTTTATCAGTAAATCATACTATTATTACTAAAAATAATTTTCGTCTTCACGTTTTTTTTTCAACAATTAAAAATTATTTTTTTAAGAAAAGACTTCCTATTCTAACAGTTACTACTTTATATAGATATATATAAGAGAAAGGGTTTGGACTGTTTTGACTTTGATTTAGACGTGTCAAAACTTAAAACCGCAGGCATCCAGAAGCCAAAGAATTGAAGCTGAACGTTCCATTGCAATTGCAAGCTGCAGATACTATTTACCGGATCCATTTTAAAACGTTAACAAATGACAATTATTTCTAGAACTCGTGCTTTTGGACGTCAGATAAAGTGATTAAAACTCTGTTTTCCTCTGCCAATCTACCAGGAACAGAAGGGCAAATCAGACATCCAAAACTCACAAAACAATTCAGCAGAATCTTTAGTTCTACCAAATCTTTAAATTTTTCTCTTTTGTCCAATAATCTTCGGGCTTCATGCAATCAATTTTCACTTTTTTTTTGTCAAAAACAAATTGAGTACACACCTAAAACTATAAGGCTAATAAAAGCAAGAATTCATTCACTGCCCATAAATATAGGCCCCCTCCCCTGTTTTAACTCTTTCACCTCATAAATTTTCATGCTTTCCCCCTCTTATTTACGGGTAATCTTTCTTTCCTTTTAAACAACCAAAATTAACCTGATTTTATGAGGTTTAGTATTAGTAAACTTTAAATATCTATAAATAAATTTTTTTAAAATTTGGTAGGGGATTTGAATAATTATAGTAAACCTCGAGTCTCTGAGAAACTACTATCGTAACAACACGTCTTCCTTTTCCTTGAATCTAATAATAATAATAATAATCTATGTTGTATTTTTCCGACAGTTTCCATTTTCCAAAATGTTCTTAATTTGATTTATGTGTCATGTCTTATTGCCACATACAAGACTTTTGGATCTTTCTTCTTGATATTTTTCTGGTTAAGTTTGAACAAGCTTTGTTAATTCTGATCTGGGTTTTCTTGTTTAGGCCAAGATGTTCCTGTTTTTTAAGATTTTTTTTTTTTTGTTGAGGTATGCAAATTATCTTGTAATATCTGGCTATTGAAATGTTTCAAAATTGCATGGGATTTATAACTGGTGAAGTTGGAATCTTTGTGGCTTGCAGGAGAACACCAGTTGGCTTTCTTGCAAGTTTTGGTGAATAATTCTGATATGGGTTTCTATCTATTGGATCTCTGTTCTGGTTCTGCTTTGTTTCGAAGACATTCTTTTTCATCCTCTGCTATCACCCTTTTTCGTTTCTATAATTGAATTTGGGTTCAATAAAAGATGGAATTTTGCTGTTGAAATGTTACATTTTACCTCCAAGAAGCAGCTTTTCTTCGAATGTTCTGAAGCCCAATTGGATTGAATAGGGATAGTTGAATTTGAAATTTGTGAGTCGTACAATCTTGATCCAACTCATTGTATTTCGTTAACTTGATTGGTCAAAGGTAGTTAAATTAAATTTATGGATTTAGCTCAGGAAGAACCAGTTGGAGATGGAGAAATGGAGGAATTGGTTAGAGTATCCTCTGGTAATATACCTCTCGCGGAAAATCATCTTCAGAGAACACATTTTCCTGGTATGGTGAGACAGAAAGCCTACGTTTTTGATGGTCTTGGAAATTATTATAATAAGGAGTGGGATCTTGCTGAAGGTGGTGGCCAGGAGTTTTGTTGGTACCATGTAGAACTTCCCAAAGGGAAACAGAAACTCTCACAGTCTGCACAATACCTTATAGATGTTCTTTGCCCACCTTTAAAGCTTCAAGACATTCTCTCACTTGTTAGCAATGGGCCATTTTGTGGACATGTTGATGGAGCGCTTGTTTTTAGGGTTAATTCACCTGGTCCTCCCTCCAGTAATTTTACATTTAGACTAGCTGCAAGGGTTACTGAGAATTCAGTGATTACTGTGTCTTTGGGACGTGTTCCCAGATTAGGTTTCTCACCAGTCGGTCAATCTCTTCTCTCAGAGATTCCTAGCGTTGAAAGCCCATCATATTATAGAGGAGAGAGGGAGGAAGGGAGTGGGATTGTTATAGGAGAACATGTTCTTGAGTTCTTATTGACAATGAATCACTCTGAGGAGGCTGATAATCCTGTTCCAAAGTCTGTCTCAAACCTCGTAGTTCACATCATTGACACACATGTGGATCATCTTCAAGATGTTGTTACTAAACTCGAGATGGAGCTGGATTCAGTGGAGCTTGAATTGGATAAAGGTAAATTTCATCCTACAGAATTTATTCGGCCCCTTATCTAAATAAACACTAGCCTAATTCCTTTTCTGTTAAATTGGTTTATAGCTTTCTGTGCTATGGACTGAAACCTTTTTGAATTCCATATTTCAAGTTCATATGGGAATAAGCGGTTTAAGGATTTTCATTGACACTGAATGAGCTTGTAAATGTAGATCCAATTTAAACCACAAATGCATGTGACCTGGTAGATTTTTTTATGAACTTTAAGGGCATTATACTCTCTGAATACTTAGGATCAATTCCATTACATTTTCTTAAACCATCCTTGGAACTTGCTGTAACCTCTTTGGGCAAAAGTTAGGATATTAGAGGCATTAAGCATTTAACATTTGTGTTTAATTGCATTGGCGAGGATGCTTTTCCACATATATACTCTCCACTTGAGATATGAGAAACATAGGTTTTTCTCATTTTCATTTTCTTGTGCCTTCTTAGCTCATTCCCTAGTTTATATTGTGCACTTTTTAAAGTTGCATGCTTTATTTTGGCAATGAAGTTATCTGTAGATGCAAGTCATACTTATTCTGCTTAATCTCAGGTGGAGATGCTTTAAAGAAAGAGATGCTAGATGATAGAAGATTCCCCAAAATGCATCTAAATTTGCAACGACTCCTGCAGGTAATTTACTTGCTTTCTAAATGGCTACTAGGCAGAAAAATTTGTAAGTTGCTTGGTGGTTAACTTAGACATTGCCTTTGAGGAATTATTTTAACCAATCGAAACCTCCATTGAGGAGCCATAATGAAAAAGCAGAAAGGCACGAAGACATGCTAGGCAGGGCTCAATCAGGTCCCTTCATCATCGAAGTTTATCCGTTTCTGGGGATGTGATGGATGTCAGCTCCTTGTCAAACTACATAGTAATGGGTTGCTGTTAAAGATTTCACTTTTGAGGGTTACTGAAAATCCAATGATTGGTTGTTCTTGCACTCATATTTTCTGATAATCCACAGGGATGTGATTTGGTTGAAACTCCCATTTATTTTGAGTTTTGATTTATTGGCTGTGCAATCAAGACCATGAGAATAAACCCTCTTTGCTTATATGTATTCTCCAAAATGCAGGTTATAGCCCATGGGGAGCAAGTATTTCCAAGAGTCAAGGAAAAATGTTCTTCTAAACATTGGTTTGCAAGTGAAGACATCAGCTCCCTTGAAGAGCTGATTGGACGTTTGAGGAGGCTGAAAGAGAACGTAGGGTTTCTAGCAAATCGTGTTACTGCAATTCAGGCTGGTTTGGATAGCTGGCAGTCTGAGCAAATTAACAGAAAACTCTATTATCTCTCTTTCCTTTCTATAATATTCCTTCCTTTATCTGTCATCACTGGAGGTAATATTTTTTTTGTCTGCCTTTCCCTTGTTGTAGGAGCTCTGATTTGTTGATAGATCTTAGGTGGCAGGTTTGAACTCATTGCTTTTTGTTGAATATTTCAGTGTTTGGAATGAATGTGGGTGGAATTCCATGGACTGTGCAAAAGGACCCTGCACTAAAAGATGGTTTCCGCAATGTCATGGTTCTCTGTCTAGCAATGCTGCTTCTAGTGTTGCTATGCTTTATTTTCCCTGCTCTTTATACCCGACTGACTGCCTGGTATAGGAGGAGGTCTTTGAGAAGAAGTTGGTCTCGTAACAGGAGATCATTCCTCAAGAGAACCTTTGGAATTCAAGAAAGAGGTGGTTACCATAGGATTTGACAGTTAAAGAAAGCCATTATCATGGTATTTTCATTAAATTAACCTTAATTGGCTCCTCAATCACACGTGTTAAGTGTACCATTCTATACACATATAGAGTTGTCATTAGCATCATTTGACTGGGCTAAAAATAGAAATACTGTGTTCATCACTTACTCGTATTTAGGCTAGAGGTGGTGAAGGTGCTTCATTAGAGATTAGTCTTATGCTTTTGCCCATTCTGTTGTATGTTATATCATTTTTGAAGGTTTAACTGTACAGGTGTTTCTATTAAAGTTTGACTGTACAAACACACAAAATTTGAGTTTTGTTGCAATCTCAATTATATGGTAATTGCAACACAGTGGCACTGACATTTAAGTTCCATTTTGTATATTTGATGGTTTTTCAATGATGTCTGTGTTCAGCTTCCAGCCTTCCAAGTATCAACTTTAGCTTTGTTGAGGAATCTGGAAGTCAGGTTCACTATGTTGTGAAAGCAGGAATTTGGCTTGAAATTTTGAAGTTGAAACCCAAGGTACTAACAGAAATTGCTTGAGTAGTAAGTTTTAAAATGAAGTGAAAGGTGTAGTTGGTGTACATATAGGTGGATTAATCATAATCCTTTCCCTTTTCAAATGTCTTATAGCATATAAGTTTTTTCTGAATTCTGTCACGAACCATGTGTACCAACTATCAAAGCATATAGCTCAAAGGAAACTATCAAAATCTTTTTTTTTTTTGGTTACAAATAAAGTCACAGTGAAAGAGTTGCAAATGCTTAGATGTAAACTTTAAACCTACAAGATATCAATTTTTAATAAAATAATTACATGAATCAAATAAATTAAGTTTTGCGCTTCTGAACTTTTTTTTATTTTAGTTCTTGAAAACACACGCTTTCAGCACCATAGTTGTTAGTTTTGTTGGTTAGAAGCCATTGTCTGGTGCAATGGTAAAGGTTACTTCTTCACAAAAATGCCAAGGGGTAGGATTATTAACACATTACCCTCCCATGATCAGCAGATAAATACCATTTCCTTCAATTCGGCATAACTTTAGCCTTTGTCCCCTCTCTCTCTTTCATGTACTAACCCTGAGTTACTTGCAACCTTCCAGGGACAACTAGCCCTTTAAAGCCATGAAAAATCTTAGGAGAAGTGTTTTTAGGAACAAAGTGTCAACCTATGTTAAGCCACGAATGGTTGTCCTAGCTCTAGTCAGCCCCTCGGACTTTTTTACACTGAAATCAGCCATTGCATACCAATTTTGTTCACCATTGGTTTCATGCTTGAATTTTCTGTTTCTTCTTTTGAAAAACTTCAACTGTTGTTAATAGCTCTAAACAAAGGGAAAAAAAATAAAAAACAAATGGAATTACAAGGAAAAGCAACCTATAATTTTTCATGTGAGCAGACAGATTGGGTGGCGTAAAAAGCTTCAACCCCGCATTTCGGAAAGCCAGACCTTTCTTTAGTTGAGGAATAACAATTTTGGAATACTTTGTGACAAATTACACGTCCACTTGCAAGGCAAAAATTTTGAATTCAGAAAGCTAAGCTGGATAAAATCATTTTAATTTGTAAATTATGGTTGGCGCTTATTACATGATTGGACATTTGTGTTAATGTTATAATTTGAATTTAAAACATGTTAATGATATTTTTTGAAAGTAATTTAATAAATTTGAATTCTGCATAAATTGGATGATTTAATTTCATTTTTAGTTGAACTCAGGTTTTTTTAGTATAAAAAAAGTTGCATTTTAGGGATAAAAAAATTTTAGGATTTGAATTTAAATTTATTAAATATTATTTTTTAAAAATAATGATGTATTAAATTTTATATTCAATTTAATTTCAACTTTAATAATCATAAAATCACTATTTCAATTTGTTACTAGTTCGACAATTAAATTAGTCTTCCCAAAGTTTTTTTTTTATTTAGTTAAAAAAGAAAAACAAAAACCATATTTCTCAAAGTCAAATCTAATAAAAAAACCAATTTTTTTTTGCAGGAGTGTGTACAAAAAATTAATAATAATAAATTAATAGAAATAATTTAGAAAATGATGTAGCAAAAAAAATAATAACAATAAATTAGTAGGAGTAATTTAGAAAATGATGTGGCTCATACCAACCATCAGATTGAGTTTTGTTGGCTGGGCATATGTGAACGGGAAAAACGAAAGGCTAAATAGCGGCTCGTCTCGCCGAGCTCTTTTTAATCTAGAACCTTCTATCTCTTACCAGAAAATCTCAATAATCCCATTTCCACCTTATAAAACTAAAGTGTCTGCCTTAGCAAAGCAAAACCCTAAACCCTAGAAAACTCGTCTTACTTTATTTTAACCGAAGTACTCTCATTCAATCTCCATTGATTCTTTGCTGCTCTTTCTAGGGAATAGCTATGGTAACGGCAACACTGCTCCGTTCATTTCGACGCCGTGATGTGGCCTCTGTACCTCTCTCCGCTTTTAGATACGTAAGTTTCAAACTCTTTTTTTGTTTGCTTTAAAACTTTTCGTGTTGTTTTTTATGATTTTCTTGATTGATCTGTGGTTCCTAGTTTTATCTTCTGTTTGGTTGTTGAGAAAATCGAGAAAAAAGAAAATTTATCTAGATTGTATTCTTTGATTGGGAGGTTGCTAAAAGTATTAGATATTTTGCGTTTTTTTTATTCATTCATTTAAAGTGGAACTTTTGCGAATATTATTTGTTTATTTGGAACTGATGATATATAAATAAGTTGATAAAGAGCTTGTTTGTATGATTAAATTGAAGTTGGATGGTACTGTCCATGAATCTGTTTGGTAATTAAAGGATGATTACATATAGTTTTTTATTGACTTTGTGTTGCTTATAAAATGAGCTTATGCCTCTTAACTAAAATCGAGTTACTGTTGTTAGCCAAGTGGCTCGTCAGGTCAAGTTGGTTTAAGCTTTAGTTACTGGGGTTTCTTGAAATATGCTTGAGATTTGTTTGTGAAAATGGTTATTGCAGTTTGTTTGCTAAGGACTTGAATAATATTCCCGGTGAATGAAATGGATGGTGCCTCATACTTAATTGGTTTTTGTGCAGCTTGCTAGCAATGGCAAGAACCCGGTAGGAATTAATTGGACAAGTTTTTCTAGAGCTTTCAGGTAACCATAGTTTGGGTTATTCTCATTATTGTTTTTTTTAGTAAATTTTTTATTGCTCAATTTAACTCTTTTCTTTTCCTTGAACATAGTTCAAAACCTGCTGGCAATGATGTTATTGGTATTGATTTGGGTACAACCAACTCCTGTGTTGCTGTCATGGAGGGAAAGGTAAGAATTTGACAAATGGGTTGATGTTCTTAACAATTTTGTTGTTAGCTTTGGAAGGTGAAGTGCCGTGATTATCTCTGATTGAGTCTGTTATGATTTCAGAGTCCCAAAGTTATTGAGAACTCTGAAGGTGCGCGGACCACACCATCTGTTGTTGCCTTCAACCAAAAGGGAGAGTTACTTGTGGGCACCCCTGCAAAACGACAGGCTGTGACCAATCCAACTAATACACTTTTTGGAACCAAGCGTCTAATTGGTAGACGATATGATGACCCCCAAACACAAAAAGAAATGGGAATGGTTCCTTTCAAGATTGTCAAAGCTCCCAATGGAGATGCATGGGTTGAAGCAAATGGACAACAATATTCTCCTAGCCAAATTGGGGCATTTATTTTGACCAAGATGAAAGAGACTGCTGAGGCTTACCTTGGAAAGGGTGTTTCTAAAGCAGTTATCACTGTTCCAGCATATTTCAATGATGCACAGAGGCAAGCTACTAAGGATGCTGGTAGAATTGCAGGCCTTGATGTTGAGAGAATAATCAATGAACCTACTGCTGCTGCACTCTCATATGGAATGAACAATAAGGAGGGTCTTATTGCAGTTTTTGATCTTGGTGGTGGTACATTTGATATTTCAATTTTGGAGATTTCTAATGGTGTATTTGAGGTATGCATCTTTTTTTTAATTCTAAAAGGATTTGTTTTAAGGATGATTAGGCCAATTGTACTAATAACTACCATATCCAGGTCAAAGCAACCAATGGTGATACTTTCTTGGGAGGAGAGGATTTTGACAATGCCTTGCTGGATTTCTTGGTGAGTGAATTCAAGAAAACTGAGGGAATTGATCTTTCAAAGGATAGACTTGCACTCCAGAGGCTTCGGGAAGCTGCTGAGAAGGCAAAAATCGAACTCTCATCAACATCGCAGACTGAAATCAATCTTCCATTTATAACAGCTGATGCATCTGGGGCAAAACACTTGAATATCACATTGACCAGATCAAAGTTTGAATCTTTGGTAAATCACTTGATTGAGAGGACCAAGGCTCCTTGTAAGAATTGTTTGAAGGATGCTGGCATTTCCACAAAGGATGTTGATGAGGTTCTTCTTGTTGGAGGGATGACACGTGTACCTAAAGTACAAGAAGTAGTTTCAGGGATCTTTGGGAAGAGTCCAAGCAAAGGAGTGAATCCTGACGAAGCAGTCGCTATGGGAGCAGCAATTCAAGGTGGTATACTTCGTGGGGATGTTAAAGAGTTGCTTCTCCTTGATGTCACTCCTTTGTCACTTGGTATTGAGACGCTAGGAGGTGTATTCACAAGGTTAATCAACAGGAACACAACCATTCCAACAAAAAAAAGTCAGGTGTGTCTTTGGTGCAGATTTATAGCATTTTCCTTTAGTTCACTCAATATTAAATAACATAAATGGTCATTGGGACAAAATAAGTTGACAGAATTGTTTTTTGGGCATATAAGTGTTGACTAATTTCTTCCAATCACATCTTCCACGAATGTTATTTATCTTCCTGTTTCATGTTTGATGGGGATCCTTGGTTTGCAGGTGTTTTCTACTGCAGCCGATAATCAGACTCAAGTAGGTATCAAGGTACTTCAAGGTGAGCGTGAAATGGCCACTGACAACAAGATGTTGGGTGAGTTTGACTTGGTAGGCATCCCCCCTGCTCCTAGAGGCATGCCTCAGATTGAGGTGACATTTGACATCGATGCCAATGGTATTGTCACTGTTTCTGCCAAGGATAAGGCCACTGGGAAAGAACAGCAGATTACCATCCGTTCATCTGGTGGTCTCTCGGAGGATGAGATTGAGAAGATGGTCAAGGAAGCTGAGTTGCATGCCCAGAAGGACCAACAAAGAAAAGCTTTGATTGATACCAAAAACAATGCAGACACCACTATTTATAGCATAGAGAAGAGCTTGAACGAGTACAGGGACAAGATTCCTAGTGAAATTGCAAAAGAAATTGAGGATGCTGTTTCGGATTTGAGGAAGGCAATAGAAGGAGAGAATGTTGATGAGATCAAGGCCAAGATTGATGCAGCGAATAAAGCTGTCTCAAAGATTGGGGAGCACATGTCTGGCGGTTCTGGTGGTGCCCAAGGAGGTTCTTCTGGAGGTGCTCAAGGTGGTGACCAGGCCGAAGGGGCAGAATACGAGGAGGTGAAAAAGTGAGTGACGAGGCAGTGATTCTGTTAGTTGTTTCTTTTGAGTGGCATTCAACGTTGCCACAGATGATCCTTTCGATTGATGCATATGATGTTTAGCATTTTTGTTTCTAAATAATCACGGTCGAATGTATTATCCTATTAGGAATTTGAGTTCTGAACCCCTTCAATATGGGACAAACATAAATTTTCCAAATGAAAAAAATATGAGATTTCCTTGACTTGCTACATCTTCAGCCCATTCATTAGCACAATATTTGGCTGCATGATACATAAAAGATGCAATAATTTGCAACTATCACAGATATAATGTAACGAATGGAGCTTACTGGTATAGGGGGACAATGCCGTTTCTATATGCTGATTTGCCAGGGCTGGAGACTAGCAAGGGTTGGTCGCTCAAATCAGATTGTAATTACGGCATTTCCTTCACAAATACTATGGACTTGAATTGTGATAAGGGAGAAATAATTGCTCAGTTAGTTACTCTTACCTCTAATAAAAAAAGTGAAAGTGAACTCTAGGTTTAGTTCATGCAATCATTTTTAATAAATAATATTCAGCATATATAAAATTCATGTTTGATATTCAAATTTCAGTATTTATAACTTTTATTCTTGCAATTACTTTGTACCAAAAAAATAGAGAAGTGAATTATCCTCTTAATACTTGTTTTCTAGAATACATAATATGAGAATAAATTTATTTATACAGAATCGAAAAACTATCCAAGGGCCTCCATGCAAATTTGCAAAACGTTTCCCTAGAAGGTGGTCATTTATCACGTATCAGCATCACCATCGTCTGATTGTTATCTTTATTTCTTGAGGTTCTTCATCAGCACCTTGAAATTAAAAGTACCAATAAGGTAGCTTTTATTTATTGCATTGTCTAGGTACACTTGATATTAGCATTCGTTTATGCGGTTTAATGTCCTTTTCTTATTGATTACTTTTAGTTTATGCGGTTTAATGTCTTTTTGGAATTACGTAAAGACTATTCTGTTTTGATTAAAGGGTATTCTTTACTCTTTTTTTTGGCTGAAAATTGTTTCAGCAGAAGTAGAAATTTGGGTTTCAATGGCTAGCAGGAAAAGAAACATCCACTCCATAGCTACTGGAAATAATGTGTTTACAATGCCTTCGAATAATAAGAAAATGAAGAAGGATAGAGCATCCGCCATGCCCGTTGAGAGATTTAAAAAAAAAAAGACAAAAGAAAAGATAAGGCCCTGGACAAGGAGAGGCAGTTTTATGCTTTACAAGATAATAAAGATTTGCATCCCAAATAGAAAAGTGTAGCACGCTCATCAGCCAGTGATCTGCATCTGCCTGAGTTCCATCATAGAGTTTCTAGTGACTTATGTCTGGCTGATGCTTCTCTAAAGAAGCTGCAGCGGGAAAATTGGTGGAACAGTTGAAGGAAATTCAGAAGGTATATCAGAGGCTTGTGAATAAGGAGTTCCATGGAGGATGGATTCAATCAGAAAGATGAAAAGGATGATGGCTTGAAAAACTGTGCACCATCTTTGAGATATGTTGTGCTAATCAAGGGAGTTTCTTCATCCAGGGAGGTTTGATTAATTAGCTCTGTTCTAGAAAGTGTTGCATGTAATCAACATTAAAATATGCATTTAAGTTTCTTGTATATGCCTTCCATGGTTAAACTCGTCAATTGAACATGGTGTGGCATCAAGCACTTGAAATAAGCATGTTGTTCTGCTGCTTTTGCAGTGTGCTAGACAAGGTTTTGCTTTGGGTTTGGCCATCTTGATTGCTACAATTGCTAGCATTAGAGTGGGCTCTTCAATTATTTGCTCATGCTGCTCTTGCTGATCTGACAGAGTTATTAAAGAGTGGTTTTGTGATAACAACACTCGCCATGCCTCATGTCAAGGAATCCATCAATGCCTTTATCTTCCCTGCCTCTAAAAACTATACTTGAAGGAGGCAGCTATCTCATTTATATTAGAATTGGTTGAAAAGGTTGTTTTTTTTTTTTAGATAAAGTAGAATTTCTTCTTCGATATGCCTGTAATTTTAACTAATGTTGGGAATACTGGACTTGTTAAACCTATGCTAACTAAAAATCAATGCTTAGAAATTATCAAAGTCAAGGGTCATGATATACTTTTTCCAGATGAATCATGAATTATTCCAATAATTTTGGTGGCCCATGAATGTGCAATGTGCATGTAAATATCTTTAATATATGCTTATTATTGGAAGTTGTCTCAGAAATGGATAGATCTTGCAACGTTGAACCGATACGTGTTTGGTTAATGCCTTGTTGTTTCATTCTTTAATCTATGCTTCTAATTTTTCAGTTGCCTATCAAAGCCTTGTTGAATCACGTTCTTGAAGCTTCTGGCATTATTGAGTGGTTTGAAGAAGCGAGCCGGGAAATCCCGATGCTTTGCTTTTTATCTTTGAAAACTTGTCACATCCATTGACAGCATAGTTCTTGACAAACTTTTGCCAAATCCATTCAGCCCAAGCAAACTTTTCTCTGTCGATTATCTATCTTCTCTCAGTAACTGCTTTAAGGTAACTTTTAAAGGCAGGGGTAATTTTGAGGAATCAGCTATAAATATTTTCTAAAACTTCTTTACCTTTTCTTAAACATGCAGAAATCCGCTTTTTGCCAGCCACGAGTTCATGTTGTGTGGCCTGCTTTTGTAGGTATTCTTCTACCTGATACCAATTTTCAGGCTGAAGATGCAGTATCCGTTTCAAATTTCCGAAAGAAGCAAAAAAGGGGTTGGAAATCTTGCTCTCTGGAGGAAGAAACTGCAAAAAAAACGTGCAGCGTTTTTGTGAGGTTGTTGTTGAAGGATCCCTTCTTCTGTCATCTCATGATTGCAAGAACTTAACACTCGATATTCTACTTCTTCTCCTCCCAAGGTCGCCTACATCTTTAACACCAATTGTTTTGTTCAACAAACTCTTTAACACCAATTGTTTTGTCCAACAAACTTGTCCAATGCTTGATGGATATACTTGACACCAACGACTCCTAGCTGTACAAAGTTGCGCAGCATTTTCTTAATAAATTATTAGATTGGGTTGAAAAGGACAATGATAGAAGAGCAGCTGTTATTGTGGCTTTACAGAAGCACACAAAAACAGTTAAGAATTTGATGGAAGAGATTGAAACAGAAGCAGACTTCATGTTGTTTGTCGAGGACATTATGAACATGTTTCTGGATGAAGATCATGCATGCTTCTGATGGTTTTTCAGACGAGAGTTCAGAGATAGGCTCAGTTTGAGGACAAAGATTCTGTCGGAATGTTGGGGAACTTTGATTTTCTAAAAGGCTGGATCATAGAATCCCTGCCTAGTGTATTGAAACATTTAAAGAAGGATCCAGCACCAAAATGCCCGGGTCCAAAGTGAAATTTTGAAGTTCCTAGCCATTCAGGATCTATTTTTCCTTCTCTTGGCAATGTTACTTCATTTGAGTTACAGAGGAAATTCAGATGGCCAAAAGCAGCCACCTCGAGCACTTTGCAGGATGTGCGTTGAACAACTTCAATCATTGCTGGCAAACACTGAAAAGGTAATATTGCTACCTCCCTTCTTTGGTGCAAAGCTTATCATCCGCTCTTTTGATTCTTTGTTTCCGGCTTTGGTGATTCTCTGTATCTTGAAATTTAATTGTTGCAAGAATTCATGCAACATATAAAAAGCTGGTTTGCTATGAAAAGATTGGTGTTTAGTGGGTGTCTTACTGCCTTGGAATGTTCTTAAACTGCGTTATCAATCTTTAAGCCTAATCTATGGTGAATAGATGATAGAAATTAGGAATGTTTATCTTCCATGGTTATAGTGTGCTTACCAACCTAATTTTTTATGTTTGTCATGATCTTGTTTTCACTTTTTATTTTTTTAACCTTTTGTAGTTCAAGTAGTGAAACAATACTCAGCTTTTGACAGTTAATAATGGCTGGAAGCAAACCATGGATTTATTAGTGATGAAAATAAATGAATGCATTAAGGTACTTGCTCATCCCAATGCTATATCAAAGTGCTCCTTTAACCTGGGAAATACTCTGAAGCTGCCTCTGAACTTGTCATATGCGTAAGAAAGCTTTTGCAGCTTTTGTTATTCACATTTCATCTGGAAAAAAATAAGTTGGACAGTGATTCAATGCCAGAATTAATGGATACATTACTTTCCTTGCTATCATAGTCATCAGTCTATATGCGGTCTTGTCTTATTCCATACCTGCTAGTTTTAGAGCTTTTTTGTTTTTGCCTCTTTCAGTATTCTGTCTTACTGCGTTTTTACTTGGAAATTTATGAATAAGGATTTTATTTCTTTGTGATAAGAAGATTTTTTTTTTGGGAATCCAAAGTAATAGCGGGGCAGTGGTAAAATTAAAACCTACACTCACGGATCTTTCTCAAAGTCTTTTAGCCAATTAGGTCAAAAGGTGAAAGGCTATTATAAAGAACCATACTATACCCATAGTTTGAATGATGAAATATGAAGCTTCCTCCCCCAACCATTGTCCCCACTACCCTTTGCTCTCACTGTCAGCATCTCAATCCTTTCAGTGTATATGTTGACCAAGTTGGTAGTGGCATCCAATATCAAATAGAATCATCATATCGGTCATATGTTAGAAAATTTTATATGGATATATAGTAACCATTTATTGAACAAGTCTCTATACGTAAAATAGAGGAAACTTGCATGTACAACAAAAAAGACAAACGATAGAGGCAATGCAACTTTTGTTTGCCAAAAGGACAGCGCAGAAGTGGGCTTCTAAATTGTCACTTCGAACAGCTTTCTATTTCCAATAGTCAATTATCATTGGCTTCAAGCAACTGAGAATCTGGGAAAGTAGCATGGTCCCTGCCGACAGAGCAATTACCATCGTAGAAATAACTGGAATGGAACATCTTCTCAATGGCATGGCGACATAGTGGTTGACCTCGTTATGGTACGAGTTGAACCTCGCAATTACATAGGGCGAACCTTGAGCTTGTAACTTGTTGGCGCACGAGTGTTTGGCCTATCGGGCAATCTTGTTCCATTGGAAAAGAGCATATACATATGGCAAATTTCCTTTTCGCTTAGAGGCGGCACCATTATGTGTTTCTCATGTTCCCACCCTCAAATATCAAAGCCAGGCAGTTGCCGCCTCTCATCCAATCCTTTCCAAATGAAATCGAAATTCGTACAGGGTTGCTTTTTACGGTTATCTTCTCCCTTCTTTTCCTCCAAAAGGCTACAACCACCGTTCCAGTTATGATTTTTTTTTTACCAAGGGAATAATATGCACTCAAAAAATTGCATTACGAGTCTGTTGCTATATACCCATCCTACCAACAACCAAGAAGCAAAAGATTAAATTGTAAATGCTCTATTGATACTGAAAATCAAGTATTAGGGTTGATGCATACAAAGTGTTTTCCAACCCCGTCGATCTTCCCCTCCTACCTATCTTCTACCAAATCTCTTAACTCTTTTCACTACATTTCCCTACCCACTAAAATCCACATTCATTTTTCTGGCCAAGGTGGCCCTATTTCCAATTTCGTCATATTTCTTTCCTCCAAAGAAAGCAACCATTACAATTCACACAACACACTTAAAGAACCCACCCTGTACAGCAACAAAAAAAGAAAAAGAAAGTTCACACATTTAGCATTTAATACTACTGAAATCCACATCTAACTTTCAATTTGTTAGGAATGTTAGCAAAATGTACCTCATCTATATCCCACCCAACTCTGGATTGCCCCAAAATCTCGGCTGACAAGCTTCAAAAACAAATAATTCATTCTTCAATCCAAGGCCTTAATTCCTCACATCATCAGCATCAGAATCACTTCCTGAAGAACTCCCAGAATCCGAATCTGCAATAATAACCTTACAAAAGTAAGAATTTTTTTTCCTTCATCTAGGAACCATCATTCCAAAATTCATAATTTAGTCGAGTAATACCGCTTGAAGACGATGAATCACTGCTTGAACTGCCGGAGCTGCTAGAACTGCTACTAGCATGATCATTATCCTTCTCAATCTCTACAGGTGGAAAACTGCTCATTGGCATTTCACCCCCAATATCTACATCTTCCTCGCCAGCATCCCCTTTCTTGGGCTTCTTCGTCTCCATTGCAACCTCAATCTTCTCCACAGTTACTTCTTCCTGTATTTTCCATCATTCTCCAATCGGTATCAGTACAAATATAAATCCATCAAATTCATATGCTAAAGATCAAAATTATCATTTACCCATCAAGCAATCACAATGTGCTTACCCTATTGCTGTCATTAGATGCCACATTGTTTGCCATCAATGCTTGCCGCTTAATCTTGCTGACCATCTTCTTGTAATTAGTGACAAGCCTATCCAACTCCCACAGCGTCTCTGTATCCATTGCCTCTATATCAAGTTCAATCTCATCCCCATCCTGCCTCAAATGCCCATTCCTCTTCCTTATAATCTGAACCACATTATTCATCTTCTCCTGCGGCAAGCTCTGCAATCCAATCCCCAATTTTTGCTTCTCCTCCATACTCATTTCCCTCTTGTTCGGATCCTTAGCCTTTGGCTTTGGCTGCTTCAGTGGCTTCACTGGCGGTGCCCTAACTGGTGAAGCCACCCTCGCCAGTGGCTGAAACTGCATCTGAGATGGTGGTACATTTGAGTCTGAAACAAAGCCCGAAACCCCACCAACTTTTCCAGATCTTGCCACAATGTCAATTGGATCATCCCCATCAATAACCATCTCCCCATCCCTTTCCCTATCGTTCTTCAACCTATCAGCTTCGCCATGATCCCAAGAACTTGCCTGCAACTCTTCCTCGTAATAACCCCTTTCTTGTGGCTCTTCTTGCTCCTCCAATTTCAAACTCAATGGCCGGAACAATTCCTCAAATCTCGCAAGCAGCTGCTCAGCCAACACATAAACCTCATGCCCCTTAGGGTTATACAACATGGCGTTATTAAAAGTCAGCCTAACATCGGCCGCGAAGTCCAACGGAGACCCATAAAAATTCTTGGCCATCTTCGATTTAACAGTACCCAGATCCATCGGCTTCTTGATTATATCATAATAATCATGAAGCCCCATCCGAACAACATCCACCGGCAAATTGAAGATGTACCCATACTTATGCTTCATCAATTTGTTCAAGATTTGGGAACAAATTTTCATCGAATGAGCCGTAGATGCTTTTCCGTTCTCTTGAGGGTTCAATGTCTTCAATTCTTTGCTGAAATTTGGGGGCAAAGACCGTTTGTTTCCTGAAATGTTTTTTTTGGGTAAGGGTTTCTTGTTGGAATTGGATCTCACGTGAAAATCATTCGAATCGATTCGATTCTTCAATTCACGAATCTGCTCCAACTCGGCAACCAACCGGTTCTTCAGATCAATCAACTCTTTCCTCGAATAAGAGCTGATGGGAAAGTTGACATAAGCGCCAGAGCTGAAGTCGTTAAGTTTCCTATTAATCGATGATGCATCATCAGAAGCAGCGGATTGCGTCACGGCAGGGGAACCATTGACGACGTGGCCTGCAAAGTCATCCGGTTGCGCCAACTGATGATGGAAATGACGTTTCTTGTTGAATTTAGGGTTAGGGTTAGGGTTTGGTTTTGTTGCTGTTAAGGGAACTTTGCCCATGAATGTACCGACACTGCTTTTCGGCTGCGGTGGCCAATTCGACTCACTTCGATTCGTTAACACGGCCGACGCCATTAAATTTTAGGGAGCCGGCAGGGTTCCGGCGCGGGTTTCCCGATCCAGATGGACAAACTACAACCATGAAAAGAGATAAAGTTTGGTTCCCACGCGTCACCCAAATAGCCACCACGCGCCGCCTTAACCAATATAGCCAAGAACTTGAGACAGGAAAAACCTGAAAACTATTTTATTTCCGGAGAAAATTTATACGTGAAGACTAGGGTTTGGTATCGAACCCTTGATGAGCGAGGAAGAAGAGAAGGCTGGCTGTGTTCTTAAAGGCGTTCAGATCTGCCCAACTGAGTTTCGGGCAGTATTCTGAGCGTTAGATAGAGTTCTGTTCTTGATCTAAGGATTGTTACAGATTTGGAACGTGACCAGAAAGCTGGCCCGGTGACCTGGCATTGACGGTTAGGATGGGGACCTTGGAACACGTGTAAAACGGAAAGAGCGTGGATCGGGATCGTAGATTTGGGTTTAGGTTTGGGGTGAATTTGGGGTGCATGTGGCGTGAATTTAGGGTTTTTATGGGGGGTGGCGCCCACCTGGTAATGACGTGGACGAAAAGCCAACAGGGTGGTCCGGCTTAGGCCTGAGCCCACACGGCATGAGTGTTCCAAACGTGTGGGTGTGGAGCGTGTCAAACACGAAGCATAATATCGTAAAATTAAAATGATTAGTACTTATTTACATACTTGAAATTACTAAATCACCCTCACTTAACACAAAATATTCTTTTCCATTTTCACGTGTTCAACTGTTGTTTTTTATCCAAAATTTAATTATGTAGTAAAAATAACTAATGTCGTAATTAATGGACTCCTCGGGGTATAATTAGTTTAGTATTTTGAACCGCGCATGTATTCAATCTTCCTCGTTATAGTTAATATGAAATTCCGTTTGAATTTTCAAATTCATGCACGAAATTTTGTAATGGTTAAAAATGCAAAATCAAATACACTAATAAAAAATAGCTTTAAATTTAAATTAATAATTATTCAAATTTTTATCATCTTATTATAATCAAGATTGTTAATATCATATCAAATAAAATTTTTATTTTTTTAAAATATAATATATATCGATATTAGTTATTTTGATATATTATTTTTAATTTTTTGATTTAATATAAATATATTTATAAATATATATTAATTTGTATATTATAATACTATTAATAATTTACAAAATAAATATGAAATATCTTTAAAAATCAAATAAATAAATTTTAGAATATAAAAAATAATATCATAAATTTTTTATGATATTTTTAAACGCTTAATCTAATCATATGATATTTAAATAAGTATTTTTATACAAATATTAGGATAAAAACAAAAAAGATAAAAAAATTTAATCTTAGCTTCTTGATTGTTAAATTTAAAAAATAGAACACAATTTTTTTTGAAAAAGATTGAAATATTTATGAACTTTTATTTGAAAAAATAAAGTATAAAAGAAAGCAAATTATAATAAAAAATAAAAACTCTCAATTTTTAAGGGTTATTTTATCAATTAATTATATTTTGATTAGATTAAAAATAGTCAAATAATAAAAAATAAATTAAAAATTACAAAACATGTTTTACATTCACATACTAGTCGAAATAAGGTAATCTATTAAAATTCATCAAAATTAGTTGAAATCAACAAAAACAATTGGTATTATTCGATATCAAATCTGATAAAAAAATTATTTTTAGATATATCATATTTTAGTATAATTAGAGTGATCAATATGATTGGTACCGAAACGAAATTAATAATTATGATTATAATCAATTAAATTTTTAAATATTTATTTTATATAATTAAATTTTTATTGAACAAAAATAAATTAATCGGCATCACAAATTTTCATTAAATTATGACTTAATTGGATAAATTAAATAATTAATTGAATAAAAATAAATATTTAAAAATTTAATTAATTGTTAAAATGTTAAGAATTTGATTGAATATTATAATTGAGTGATTTTTTTTATATACAAGCCATAGTTCTGCAAAACACTTCAAATTATTTGTTTGATTTCATAAAAAAAATTATTATTATATAATAATGCTTCAAATTATTATTAATTAACTATCAACTATAACATTTGATATAAAAATATTTTTATAAATAATAATTCAAAAGTATTTTTAATAAAAAATATATTAATATTATTAATATTTTGAATAATTATTCATAATTTATTATTTTTTTTGTCTCATTTTCTGTCTATTTTTTATTTTTGGAATGTTTCAAAATTATGTCCTATCTTTTGAATATTTAAAATTCTTATTTTCATATTTTAAAATTATTTTTTATGATTTTTTTTTTACTTTTTGACATTAAAAATTATGAAATTTTAATTTTATAAAAAAATTTAAAATTGAATATTATATACATTAAAACAAAAAGAGTAATAAATTCTTTAATATTTAATAACTTGCGTCATCAATTAGTTTAAATTATTGGCAAAAAAATAGTATAAATTACATGGGAATAAAATATTAATAGAATTGGCCAAACAATTATTAAAAGATAGGAGTTAAGTGTAAAAATCATATTGAATTTTAACTTCATCAGTTTCTGATTAGGTTTTGTCTAATGAAGAAACTTTTCTTCGGTTTTTTTTTTTTTCCTGATAAAAAATTTAGTAAAAATATAAAAGAAAGGAAATCAACACAAAATTGGCAGCCAACAAATCGAGACAAAGGATAAATGGCGGGATCCAAGGTTGATTTTGGCGGGGATCGACATCGCAATTTGGCGGGATGAAACATTTCTAAGGTATATTCGTCATTTTGCTTCAATTTTCTGACGCTGCAAAACGGATCGGTATATTTTCGGCATTAGAATTCCGATGCTGAGTGTTTCGGCCCGTGCCATCATGCCAATTACCAAAATTAGAGGTGATGGACTTGCAAAACTGAGAGCGCATGGGTAATACTTTATCGAAGCAAGGGTAATTATGGTATAAAAGCTGAGAAGACCTTTTTTTTATTAATTTTCCTGCATTTAATTTAATTATATGGGCCCCAAAAAATTTATTATTTAGCGAGATTAGGAGTATTTTTTTTTTTTAATTCTTTAAGTTAGTATTTACTTAACGAACTCGAAAATTTTAGTTTTCAAACCGAATTCGATACTAATAACTAAGAGTATTTCAAGTAAAGAAAGACTAAATAAAAATTTAATCACCTTAAGATCATAAAATGGTGTTTTGTCCTGGCCTAAAACAATAAATTCTTTGATTTAGGCGAGTGTTTTAAATGAAAATCATAATAAAATATCATTGTTCATAATCCGCAGCCATGAATTATTTCATTAATTTGTACAAATATTAATTACTAATTTTAATAAAATTTACACATTACTAATTTGCTTGTTGAATTTTATTATGGATCCATTTGATTCTCGGTTAACGTCAGAATAATGCGTTTGATGGTTTTAACCGATAATCCATTTGGATTGTAAATCTGAAATTTAAATTTAAATCTTTTTAGGCTTCAGAAAATTCATTTTGACCCGTTCATGAAATTAAAATGTTTAATTTTAGTTGGATTGCTCAAATTCCTTTTCACTCTTAGAATTGGTTCCGTTTTCAACTAATGTGAATTTATTTTTATTCATGTAATGATAAATTCTTTTGATTATAAAATCATTTTTTAAATTGAATTGATAAATTATTTATGATAAATCTTTTGCTAATAGAGTCCTGATCTTTATCAGATAAGATTTGTTCCTTAACTTAAGCACACAATAATGGTGGAGAACAACGACAACTCAATAGTCACCAGTCAATTCCTAGCTAGCCTACTATTACTTGAAGTTACCCATTAGCCCAATTCCTAGCAAAGCCCTCTGCCAAGTCTCCACACCCATTAGCTAAAACACCATATACACACAAGCAACAAGTTTTCAGAAACCATCACACATTCAACAATTGACGACCATTACCAACAACCCGATCAAACAAAGAAGAAGACATTAAATTTTCAACATGGGATTATCAGCGCTACTCTCGAAACTGAAAGTGATTAACAATTCTAGATTGAACAACCCAAATAAAAAACATCACCAAAATTGACGGTTACCACCAAATCCGACAGTCACCAAAATAGCCCCCCCACCGCAACAGCCGTCCACTGGCGAGACTAGGTCTTGCCACCGTTATCAATTTCTTGCCAGACAATAGCCCATAAGTCATACCAACACAGTTCATGAAAGAAAAAGCAAAATAAAAAACAAACAAACCGTAAAAAAGAAAAACGAGTTTTCATGGGATTTGGGTCTTCAAATCTGGTTAGGAAATAGCCAAAAGCAAGGAGAAGAACATACCTTGCAGCAGTGGGAATTGGAGTTACGGAGAAGAAGATCTTGTTTGTTAAACCTACGGCTTTCAAGCCCGATCCATAAAGTTAGAGGCCTTTATATGGAGAATTAACGACCCTACGTGAAAGAGGAGGTTACGAGGAGATATTTGGTGAATTTTAGGCTTCAGCGAAGATCAGATGACGATGGAGTGCGGCAGTCGATGGCACCGCAGTGAACCGCGGTGGTGGCTTGGTAGGAATAAAAAGGAGAGAGAATGAAAAGAAAAGTAAAAAACAACAAATAAATAAATAAATAAAATCTCAACTATTTAAAGGAACTCAAAACGGCATTGTTTGGATTGTTTTTGTTTTTGTTTTGCTTGACCTGCTTGTGATCCGCGCATCTACCCACGTATAATCTAACCCAAACCGTAACCCACTTTCTTTTTGAATAATTGAGCCGTGGAGTCGAGCCAATTTTTGTGAACCGCCAAGCCAAAAACAGTTTTTGGTATATTTTCTATTTTCTATTTTTTATTTTCTTATTTATTTATCTATTTTAAAAAAATTTATAAACTCTTATCAACATATCAAAAAATTTTAAAATTAAAAATATATATAATTTTAAAAAAGTAAAACTTGAAGAAAATAAAAAATAAAATCTTATCAATATATTGAAAGTTTAAATTTTTAAATTAAACATTACCAACATATTAAAAGGTTTTGTAATTTTAAATACTTAAAAATAAGATTTTATCAATATATTAAAAAATCTTATTAATTTTAAAAAAACAACTTTAAAAAATAATATGTTTTGAAAAGAAATATAATTTTTTTGAATTTTACTAACATATTGAAATATATTTTTGATAAAAAAATATTGTCAACATAATGATAGATATTTCTAAAAATATATTAATTGATTTTGGATCTCTGATAATAGAGTCACTAAAAACGT